ATACTTCCTTTCTCCCACATGTAGTATGTCTTCCATATTTAGGGTGTGAGCTCTTCAGGACAGGGACTATATCTTCTTATGTGTACATACAGCACCTGGCACAATAAAGCTCTGATCTCTAGGTGCTACTGTAAAACAAATAGGTAACCTGCTAATCAAACCATGTCACTTGGCTTTGTTAATCAAAGGCAGCCTGACTGGATGAATGGCTCCTGAATATGTGTACAATCTCATCCAGCAGGCAACTAGTTATGCCCCATCTTATTTAGCGACCTGGACACTGAAGCAACCATTATTTGCCATTTATGTCTCCCCCCTGCCTTTTTTTGGTGAGTTTGAACACATTAGACAAGTCTCTGATTTGTTCATTATTTGGAATTATTCCGCATGTCTTCAACAAATAATTCTTCACTAACAATTCAGTGTGAACACTCATAAATTGTGCTGTTACATCAGTCACATGGTCTGGTTTCTTTTCCCGGATTGGATGACTAATGTAACCAATCCATTGCATTACAATCACCCCTCTTCAGAGGGCCAGCTCAAAGTCCTATGCCTCACCCATGCCTGTTATTTCAATGGGCCATGAGTGGTGTATAGGCTTGGTGCTGGCCTTTATTGATTTGGAATGTGAGCGTTTTCTCTTCACCTTCAACATGAATGGGAGTTGTGTGCTGGACAGGAGGACAGAGCCTCAGGGACTGAAAATATGAGGCATGTTTCTGATCTGAATAGGAGGAGGCATTATATTTTGGAGGGGAGGCGCGGGAGGGGATGAATCACTGTACAAAGAGAATAATCATGCCTATTTGTTCACAAGAATCTGACCTTTACGATGTAGAAGAAATGGTCACATTTTGAACCACAGCAAATGTTAGCAAAGCAGGAAACTCCAGATCGTATAGAAACAATTTTTTGAGTGTCAGTCGAGTTCCTTTGGTTTGGGTTTTCATGCTTCTGGGGTTACCGAATTACAGAAAGCAAAAGTAGGGCAAGGCCAATTCTGGATAATTTGGATCAAAATGTTGCTCCAAAGAATACCGTCTCCCACAGCCTGAACAAGAGCTGATATTCCAATGGAATTTACCCACTAGATGACATCATGGTAAAATCCATACATAGCTGTCTGTGTTTTTATATTGTCCTCCTCATGATTATTACAATTGCCATCAACCATAGTATCTCAGTCTCTGCAGGCTCTTTTCATCTTAAATCAATTGTTTTCACTGTGTCTGTTTGCAAAGTCCAGGCAGTTCTTTGGACAACACTTGTTTCTCTGTTTAGTTATATGCTTTAAAGAAATTTAAAACAATAGCAGCAGGCAGGCTACTCCGTGATGAGCAACCCTACAACAACCAATCAATGTGTGTGTGGTGGAGGCAAGAATGACTGGATCAGGAAAAAGATTTCTGTCTCAAATTTTTCACTGGTTAGTTCACTGAGTCAAATGTATTATAACATTGGGGGAGGGGAGGGGAGCAAAACACATAAGCCTGGACAGTGTCCTTTAAACTTCCCTGTCCTCTCTGTGTATTTCCCTTGCCTGTCCTTGCTGACAGGCAAGATATTTGTAAATTTCAGCTTTCTGCTCAATGGCTTCACCATTCCTGCGATGTGATTCCATGATAGGGAACTATAATATCACAAATTGGATTCAGAGTAGCAGCCGTGTTAGTCTGTATCCGCAAAAAGAACAGGAGTACTTGTGGCACCTTAGAGACTAACCAATTTATTAGAGCATAAGCTTTCGTGGACTACAGCCCACTTCTTCGGACCAGCATCTGCAAAGTTAGGCTTTAAGATCAAATGACAAACCCGGGTCCCTTGCATGGGAAAGGGTGAGAGTACATAAAATAAGCTTGGGTGGGTGCTAAGGTGGCACATGGTGCATTTCGGTGTTTACATTTTTTATCTGTTCCCTCTAGGGGGTACTTGTTTGAAGGAAAGTAATGAAAGGTGGGGTTAAAGGCAGGATCTGCATCCGAAGAAGTGGGCTGTAGTCCACGAAAGCTTATGCTCTAATAAATTTGTTAGTCTCTAAGGTGCCACAAGTACTCCTGTTCTTTTTACAAATTGGATTGTGACATCTCTGAAAGTATCGGGCCTGGAAGCAGGCAGATTTGACACTTGTATTAATAACAACAAGCAGATACGTGGCCCTTTTCACAAACACAAGGGCCCCGATCCTCAAAGGTATTTAAGTGCTCAACAACCATTGAACTCAATGGCACTTAGGTGCCTAAAAACCTTTGAGAATCTGGGCCAAAGACCTTGGCAAAATCATGCAGGGGGAGGATAGAAATTCAGGGAAAGGAATTTTGTAGGTAAACAGCAATTTATTAAAATGTTAGTGTTTTAAATGTCAACTCCAGCTAGAATTACCTGTCATTAACGGTGTACTTGAAATTCAGCTCCTCCTTTTACTTAACTTTCCTATGATAGCTCCACAGGTGTGCTCGATGCTCCACAGAGAAGCTGGGAGGAATGGTCCCTGCCCTTGCAGAGTATCTGGCAGGCTCAGGGCCCATGTGCTGCTGCTGCTGAAGTCAGCAGGACTCCCACTAGTGCTGGATCAGACTGTAAGGCCCACAGACCTACTACCAAGTGTAGTGCTTACTACTGGGCCTGATTTAATTGCTTACAGCAGTAACACAGAGACTCTTACACCAATTTACACCACCTGAAAAGCTGGACCAGCATCTGCAAAGTTAGGCTTTAAGATCAAATGACAAACCCGGGTCCCTTGCATGGGAAAGGGTGAGAGTACATAAAATAAGCTTGGGTGGGTGCTAAGGTGGCACATGGTGCATTTCGGTGGTTACATTTTTTAGCTGTTCCCTCTAGGGGGTACGTGTTTGAAGGAATGTAATGAAAGGTGGGGTTAAAGGAAGGATCTGAAGGGGAGGGCAGTAACATGGCAGGGAGGATGTTGCTGGTGTAGAGTGAAAGTACAGAAGTGCTTGCCTGAAAAGGAAACAGAGGGGCCCTTGCGGGAAATTGAATTGGTGGAGTGCAGGGGCCTAAAAGTATGAGAAGAGGGAAGCTGGTGATGTGTCTGTTTCTTCTTCAAAAATCAATCATCTCACTAACACCTAATGTTGCGTAGGAGCTAGCAAAGCCTCTCACTGACCACAGAACCGGGGTCATTGGGCTATGTGCTGGGGATCTCTACTGGAGTAGGAGGAATTCTCACCCCTGGGATCATGGAGCTGGCCACAGATGCAGTAGCCAATATGAGAAGCATGATGGATCCGCACAGTCATGGAACTACTAGCTCTGCCCTGAGACCTCCCTTGTCTTACCCTTTCCCCAAATCCCACCTTTAAGGCAGTTTGCAATGAGCCACACAGGCTCCTGGCAACCTGGATCCCACTCCCGCCTCAGCATAAATGTCTGGATGGATCCACTCCCGCAGGCTGCTCTATCTCATACACCGTTTAAAGTGCCTGACACTGTCCGCTCTTGGAAAAACACCAATTAGAGTTCTAAATTCAGATTTTGGCAAGTAAAAAGCCTCTGCAGGTCACCTTTACCTGACTGTGGCAAGCAGGACCAACCCTAGACATTTTGCTACCCAGGGCAGAAATGTTTTCTGGTGCTTCCTGAGCAGCTGAGAAAAAAAAAGTATGTGTGTGTGTGTGTGTGTGTGTGTGTGAGAGAGAGAGCGAGCGAGAGAGAGCGAGCAGAACATCTGAGTGCACCCTCAGATGATGCTGTGCAGGGTGACTGCCCTGATCGCCTGCTCCTAAAGATGGTCCCGGTGGGAAACTCATTCAAGAAAAATGAATTGCTCCTCACACAAATTCAGCAAGAGAGCCAACAGAGGCTAGTGGACTGAGCAAGGGGCTGGAAGTCAGGAATTCCTAAGCCCTAATATTAGCGCTCCCAATACATTGTGTGTGGTCTCACATTACTTGACCTCTCTATACCGCAGTTCCACATCTGGAAAACAAGTATGACACTTACCTGTCCCACATGGATGGTGTGCAGCTTCATTCATTTATGCCTCATGAAGACCCTCTGTTTGAATTTGGTTTGTCATCAATTCTATGGCACTCAACACTTTATTGTCTGCGCTCTTCAAAAACTTGAAGTCTGTGAGGAAGTATCATCAACTGCATTTTGCAGATAGGTAAACCGAGGCACAGAGCAGCAATGTCACTTGCTCAAGGTCACGCCATGAGCCCGTAGCAGAGCCAGGAACACAGCCCAGCTTTGATGCCACAGAGACCTGATTGTCTCTGCAGTTATGGGCCGAAGCCAGTGGGAATTCCACATAGGCAACTGGTGGGATAACAGGGCCCTGCACCCCAGATTTAACTTTGTACTAGAAGCGAGATTCTCACACACATCCACCCAAGGGGCTGATTCTGAATCCTTCCCGTGCCCCCCAAAGGACACTGTGGGTTGAGGTGCTACAGAAGTGCAGAATTGTGACATTGCAGCTTTTAACCACTGTGCGTTTCCAGGGGGAAAACTGGCTGCCGTTGTTTGCCATGTCTCAAAACTAATAAAAATAAATAACTAACAAGAAATAGCAACCCTCAACCCCCAGGATTAAATAAACTGCAAGAATCGGAAGTTGCAAATGTGCTTTCTATTGTGATAAGTTTGGTTCTCAGGATCACTAGTTCTTTCAAAGGAAATGAGTCAGAGCTGTTTCTGCTGTTGCTCAGTCGAGTCCTGCTTTTCCAGCTGAGCATGTTGGTTTCAATGAAGCTCCTGAATGAACTTGGCTTTACAAACATTTTTTTTTTCAACCAGAGAAAAACAGAAGGGGGTGATAGCCAATCAACAAGCCGGCCGGGCTTTCCAGCTCAGTTCGCACAAGAGCACAGCCTCACCCCGCCCCTGGAAAGACAGAGACCAATGACGGGCCTCTCCCGATCCAAAACACAGCAGCCATCCAATGGGGAAAGAGCCCGATGGCTCATTCTCCCCCAATGAAGCATGAGCTGGGGGGAAGGGAGCGAGAGAAACAGCCACAGCCTGGGGAGCTGGAAGATTCGAATCGAACGTTCATACATGTGAAGAACACGGCGGTGGCCAATCAGCGAGCTCGGAACGCCGGGAACGGAACGTTGAGACACCTCCGGCCTCCCCCCCCCCTTTTCCCCCACATGCTCCTCCCCTGCTGCTGTTGTTTGTGGTGCTCAAGCAGCCGAGGCGCTGAGGGACTGGGGCAGGGGGGAGCACAACATAACCGGCTTGGTGCCGACTGAAGCAGGCGGGGGGGAAGCAGGGGTGGCTTGGCCGAGCCGAGGGGCCAGGGGGAGCCGAGTGTGGGGTGGAGAAGGAGAAGGAGAGAAGAGCCTTTGTGGATTCCCCCCCCCCCCACGCACGCCGCAGCGGCACCGTGTGTGTGTGTTCTGCCCCGCTTCCCTCGTTGTTGTGGTTTCGTTTCTCTCGCCATGTCGGTGAATATGGAGGAGCTGAGGCACCAGGTCATGATCAACCAGTTCGTGCTGGCCGCGGGCTGCGCGGCCGACCAGGCGAAGCAATTGCTGCAGGCAGCTCACTGGCAGTTCGAGGTGCGTGGCTTGGGGGGGGGGACACCCCACAGGGGAGCGGGGTTCGTGGGGGCCTTGCGTGCTGCTCCTCCTGCCATCCCCCTCTCACCCTCGGATTCACCCCTTTCCTCCACCTAATCGCTCCCCCTTTCTCGCTAAAACAGTTGGTCTTGGAAACAGTTGTGGGGGTGGAATGTGTGTGTACGCGGCTTTAAATAACAACAGAGCTGGGACACGGCCGGCCGTGCCGCACGGGGCCCTGGCGCCGCCGTTGAATGGCAAGCTAGGGAGCTGCACATAAACAATCATTTTACTAGGACTTCATTACGATTACCTATTGCAGCAAGTGCCTTCGGGGGCCAGCAACTCACGAGGCCTCGCACGTAATGTCTGTTGCTGCTGATGTGGGTAGAAGGAAGGAGGGGAGAATACATTTTATTCATGTAATTTCCAAGGGGGAGAAACCGGCTTGCAGATCTCCTGGTGCCTATTTATATATTGCGCTGTAACCAAATCTGTGGCTCTCCCGGGCCTTGGAATGAAGCATCGAAACGTGGTCTGGTCTCTCTTCGCTCCGATTCCTCTGGTGGGGAAGCTTGCTCCGGAGCTGGGGAGAGGATTGAGTATGGGCTGAACCGCTTCCCAGCCCCTCACGGGGATGCGGAATACGGAGGAAGCCTGTGTAGTAAAATGTGGTGTCGCCGTTTTTCGTTTGTTTTTTTTTTTAAAGGGGGGATGTTATGTAAGGTGACAACGGCTTTAACTCCCTTCACGTGGATAAAGACGGGGGAGGAGGCGGATGACAAGTGTATTTTATATATAAAAAAGGCTCACATCAAAGGAAATAATTACACGTGGGGCTTTGTCAATTTCTTGCTGTCCCGTGGGCGAAGGCTTTTGTGTGTGTGTGTGTGTACATTCCTGGGGAGACTTCATGACACTGCCCCTTTTCCTTCCCTGATTTAATTTCACTCGTGTTACCGAAACCGACATGGGGTCTCTTGGCCAGAGTGTACTGAAGTGCTTTGATGGTACTTCAGCCGGATTCTTCCTTGCCTGGCAGTGTTTTGTTTCTGGGTTAGGTAGGCATGAGATCAGTCCAGTTGGGGAAGGGCTCCGGGCTGTGTTCTTGTTTTGGATTCCTTTGTAGCTTCATTTCTCCTTTTGCAGAGGAGAAAATTAGCATTTCAAAGCCAGCCCAGGCCTGTGTTGTGAAATGCAAACAGCTAGATCAATCATGTTTGTTTGTTGTCTTAAATTATTTGTTTACAGTTGAAACATACTTAAGGGAGGAAAAACAAGATCCAGTCATATTTTTTTTTAATAAAACAAAACATTTCCAGGGTCTTTACTAGCACTAGCCTCTATCCCGTGTGGTTGCATTTCCCCCTTTGCTCTGTCTGACTGCTGGAATTAACTAATTGTTGTTGTGTTTTGCAGACTGCTTTGAGTGCATTTTTTCAAGAAACTAACATTCCCAACAATCATCACCACCATCAAATGGTAAGTGACCCAAACTTCACAGACATGTGCTGTTCCCTATGTTATCTTCACTTCCTGTGGGCTAGAACGAAATTTACAGTGGTGTGTTCTTCCCCCTCCCCCCGCTCCAAATACTCCTTAATCTCCTGAATAAATGAAATCTGAAAAGGTTATTTCTTATCTGGGAGAGCCTCATAAAAGCAGCTACAAATGCTTCATCAGATGCCAGTCTTAACCACCCCCTTACCTGTTAAAGTTTTCTTATGACAAGCCATATAAAAATATGGAACCAAGGGGAGGGATTCCCTGTTTTGCACATTTTTGGAGGCCACCTTTGATACCGGGGAGGGGAACAGGAGGCTGCAAGCAGAAGTGGTTGTGCATTCAAAACTCTCAGTTCTCGTGACAGCCATATTGGTCTGTAACAAGAGAAATACACAGACTGCAAATGTAAACAAGAGCCAAAATGTCTGCCAGGAAATAGTTTGTCTTCACATCGATCTAGATGGTTATAACAAGTAAAAGATCACAGTGAATTGGGATAGGAAAGGGGGGCAGGCCCTTTCCCTTGAATGTTTCCTCAGAACTTTCAGCAAAACTTTACTTGACCTTGGCTGAGGGCAAGTCTCTTTAGCGAAACAGAGGAAGTTTTTTTAGGAAACTAAACCAGTGCTGTGTGTGAGGATAATAGTAGATGAAGGCTAAGCCATAGATTTTTCTTTTCCTGTACTTGCCATTGTTAAAACCTGCAGCCAGTTCTAAAAGATTTGGAATAAAACAGAAAAATGGCTCTTGGGAACTTTGTATTAACGCTCTTATTTCCTCACTAAATACTTTTTTTTTTCTCCTTTCTGGCACAACATTTCTCGCCAGCATTAGAGTATTATGGTAACATCTAGAGGCCCCAGCAGAAACAGTTCCCTGTTGTGCTAGATGCTGTGCAGACAGCCCTGCCCTGAAGAGTTTTCAGTTTAAATAGACAAGACTGAGTGTGGGAGGGGAAACTGAGGCATGGATTAAATTACTTGCCCAAGTCATGCAGCAAGCTAGTGGCTGAGCTGGGCATCAAAGTCAGATATCCTGAGACTCGGTCCAATGCCTTTCTCGCTAGGAAAGCCTCTGAAAGGAACTAGATTTATCTTGTTTCTTTACTCCTAGGGTAAATCTAGTGTTAGGCCTATCTTGTATTTGTAAATTAGCTTGGAAATTCATAGGCACTGTCCTTGGGTGGCTTGATTGAGGGCAAGCTTTCACTAAGGTTAGAGGTTGCAGTTACTAGTTTACAAACCCTGATCAAACTCTGAAGATGCAGAGGTGATTCAAGCTGTTTGAAATGCTTAACTCACAGCAGGAGTGATTCCTTGCCAAGCTGAATCGTTTACTGCCTGGGTGCTACAGGAAGCTTAACGGGTTTTAATCAGGCTGGTTTACACCAGAGTATTAAAACCCCCAAACTGGAATAGGAACTGAAGTGAAATCTACCTCCAAGCTCTTATTTTAAATAAGGGAGGCCAACATTTTAGCCGATAGCCCTGAATCACTTAAAAAAATTCATCCCTGAACAGTCATTTCTGGTGTTCTAAAAATCTTTGAACCCTGATACTTAGTCAGATGCAGGAGCAGTGACCTTGGCATGCTTGTCCCATTACTCATAAAATGATTTGACACTCAGATCTAAGCAGATCTTCAGTTATGAGGTTTTCTCATCAAAAGCAAGAGGCAGAGGAGCCTCTTCCTGAATGCTTTAAAACCTCTCTGTGCTGTCCAACGTTCACCCTCTTCATTACAAGCTTACAAATGCTGGATTCCCTGAAAGCAGATTAATAGTATTTCCAAGCAAAGGAAATCTTGGCTGCTTGGTAGGCTAGCTTCACCCCTCCCTTTTTTTATAACCAGTTACACATTAATCAGGAAACTGGTATACATGTCATGATCCGCAATGTGACCATTCTGTTTGCCAAATGTTATTCATCTCTCTTTCCCAGATACTAGTCTGACTTTTGTGCTGCATTTTTGTTGTTGTGTGTTGTTCCCTGTGCCCTAACGTCTTGAGATTTCTGCTCAAACTTAAATGCCATGAACAATTCTGATCACTGAGAGAATGGCGATTAAGAGGAGAGGTTTTACAGTATCTTGATTTGTTCTGAAACAATTGTACAAGTAAAGCTATGAGCAAACCCCACCAAAATCGCACAAAGTGAGCAGCTACGCACCGTCTCACAGATACACCTGTTTCTCTTTAGATAAGAGATGCTCCCCATATCACAAATTCTTACGCGCCATTAACCTTATAAATAAGTCGCTCATATTACTCTATTTCCATCCTGTCAATACATCCATCTGAAATGGGATGTGAACCTTCTAAGTGAAGAATTTCTTGGGACACCCAAGGGTAACTTCATCCGTTTAAAAAAAAAAAAAAGTATTCTTTGTGGACAGGAGAAAAGTCATGTAGCAAATGGGGTGCTTTTTAGTCCCCAGTCCTGTGGACGGCTCAGCATGGGCAACACCCCAAGGGAGCTCAGCTGGAGTGTGGCTGCCTGAAATTTATTGCCAGACTGGGGCCTTTTACCTGATAAGTGAAAGTTCCATATCCTTGCCGGAACAGAAATGTCTAATAGCCAAATTTCACTCGTTGAAGGATAGAGGCAAACTCTAAAGTGTGAGTGTCTAGATTCTAAAGTGGCTCTAAGGCAGGGGTGGGCAAACTTTTTGTCCCGAGGGACACATCCACCTTGCGAAACTGTATGGAGGGCTGGGTAGGGAAGGCTGTGCCTCCCCAAACAGCCTAGCCTCCGCCCCCTCCCACTTCCCACACCCTGACTGCCCCCCTCAGAACTCCCCCCTGCTCTTTGTCCCCTCACCACCCCCTCCTAGGACTCCTGCCCCAACCATCCCCCAGGACCCCATCCCCTATTCAACCCCCCTGACTGCCCCCCCCGAACCTGCGCCCCATCCAACTGCCCCCTGTCCCCTGACTGCCCCCAGGGACACCCTGCCCCTTATCCAACCCCCTGCCCCCTTACCATGCTGCTCAGAGCAGCAGAAGCTCGCAGCCCTGCTGCAGCCAGCCACGCCGCCCGCACTGCCCGGCAGGAGCGGCGGGCCAGAGCGCTGGCGGCGTGGCGAGGTGAGGCTGCGGGGGAGGGGGTACAGCGAGGGAGGGGCCGGGGGCTAGCCTCCCCAGCGGGGAGTTCAGGAGCCGGGCAGGACGGTTCCGCGGGCTGTAGTTTGCCCAACTCTGCTCTAAGGTGTTGAATTGTTTGGTTTGTTTTTTTTAAATCAGGGATGGATAAACTGACAGTGGAACCTACTCTAGCTTTTTGCTGGATCTGATTCGTTGCCATAAAATATAGGAGATGTTGATATTAACTTAAGCTGGCTGGGAAGTTAATCAGCCCCGCCGATAAAACTGCAGGCCCTCGCCTGCAACAAGGAGGGTCTCTGTCCCTACATACAGACACCCTGATCACCCCCCTTTGACTCCTGTCTGTTGCTGCTGTCTGTTTTCTGTTCCTCTCCCCACCCGCTGGTGCGTTGGGAAAAATCGTAGGAGCAAAAAGGTGCCCACACAATGTAAGCAAACTATCCCCCCCCCGTGCTACGTTGTCCCGGCTGTTTTCTCAAGCATGGTCTGGTCTAGTAAAGATCCAAATGAGGCAGGTTTGAGACCCACCTTTCCTTGCCCTTTGCAGTACAGAAGTCAGTCCTTAAAGCAGCAAATGCGATATCCTGTAAGGTTTGGGCTCTGTAAAGCAAACCAGCCAGAAAAGAGGAGCCTATTTGTCCTTGTTGCTTTTTGTTTGTTCGAATCACTTTGTTTACAAAAACATTTTTTTCCTCCTGCCCCTGGGGTGAAGGTTCAGCGCCAGACAGTGTGTGTTTCTCTGGCCAGCGTTCTTGTTAAACACGCAATATCCAGCCAGTGCCCAAAAGTCCAGCAGCTCAGAGGCCCCCTCCCTCCAGTTTTTTCATGCTGTCACATGGGATCGTGTCTTCTGAGCACAAAGATTAACTTATTTATTCAACGTATCGAATGGGCTTGTCCTGCAGGCAGCTGAGTGCCAAAGAAGAAAAGGCAATTCAAGTGATCGACGGTGTCTGAATGAAAAGGACCATGGGGAATTTTGGGATCAAACCCACCTCTTTTCCTCCGTTTTTCAGGCAGAAGTCTGAGGGGCGGCATCCTGTTACTCCGGTGTACACTTAGAGTAATTCCACTGAAATCAGGTGGAACTGATTCTGCTCTCCCAAGTGTAGCTGAGATCAGAATCTAGCCCCTTAGGGTATAAATGGCCCTTACACAGTCTCTTGAAGTTCACAAACAAACTCAGGCTCTGCTGGTTCAACAGAGGAAGAGGAGTAGGACTAGTGTAACCAGAGCCTGCAAGTTGTGAATTCTCTCCTGTTGCTCCCCGCAACCATCAGAGCGGCTACTGACCTGTAGTTATGTATTGCAGATCACTTTCTGATGGCTGTCACTTCTCCTGAAACTAGGATAGTTTCTTCTGCCTTGCTCTTTGACGGAAGATTTAGGCACTCGGGCCACTTTGCACATGATCTGATTTGCGTTCAGTAATTTGTACCGCCCTAAACGAGGGTCTCCTTCTGCCACCTTGTATCGAATGGTGCCGTTCTCCACTAATAGCCCTATTCATTTCCTGGGGACTACTCCCTGTGGGTAACGTGGCAGAATTGGGCCTGCTGTCTTTAAACTAAGGTGAGATGAGGACAAACCCACCTGGATTCCTTTTGGCTGCAGCATTTAGGGATACTTTCAAACTACACTATTGGAGCACTTTGCATAATCCCAGCTCTCACCAAGAATTACCAAGAGAAGATACGAAAGTTATGTGGGGAAAAAGAAGGTAAATCCTGAAACTCTCTCTGTTAGTGTGTTCACTACATAGGAATAGGCAGACTGGATCAGACCTAAGATCCATCTAGTTCAGTATTCCAGCTGTGACAGAGGCCGGTGTAAGAATTAGATGCTCCCTACTCCTCCCACCAAAGATTTCTGT